GGCGTTCTACAATTAAGACGAAAACGACGGAGGGAAACAAGCGACGTAAAGTAGAGGCGGTCAATGCTGCGAAGGCCTCCGCTCTTTTTAAGGATGACCCGAAACGCTTCTACGAAATTCTATGGACTCGTCTGGTTATAACAAAGCTGCTACCTTTGAGCTTCTGCGAGGATGACAGGGTTCAGCATTTTGCTAAATGCAGTGGGACACGTATTGGCAAGCATCTACCCACGGGCATGAGACTTCACAATTTGATTCTTGAAGTATATCACGCTACGTAAGAGGGCGTCAGGGCCGATCTAAGGAAGATCAAAGCTAGCTGCCCCTTGTCAATATTTCATCTGAACGTGGGTCTCTGGACCTCAAAGACCTCCATAGACAAATATGTCGGGATTCGAATCATCGTCGTGGATGCTCAATGGCGTATGAGAACTTCCCTTCTCGCAATAAAGCACTTCTGTCCAGGCTCGGTGAAATACAAGAGCTCCCGGTTATCAGAGGTCCTTCATTCATGGGTCATAGATGTTCTCGCAGAATTCGGCATTTTGCCCTCGGAAATTGCTGGGTTTACATCTGACGGAGGAGGTGATATAAGGCGCTTGCTATCAAAGCTCTTAACGGCAGCTTTTTGGGAGTGGAGAGTGCCTCATCTGTCAAACTGCGCTCTGCAAGAATCATACGGGAGAAACTTGGATCCAAGCAAGGTTGGGAATATAGAGTGCCCGAGAGACTCTGCAGAAGATGCGTAGTGTCATCGAGCACTTGAACAAGTCACCACAGGGGAAACAGCGATTTAATGAGCTCCAGGACGAGTTGATGAACACATCTTTAGCTGTCATCAGCCATGCCGCTCATCGTTTCTTGAGCCTCACCAAAGTTATTAAGCGCTGCTTGGAGCTTTCAGATTCGAAAGACAAGTACTACGATAAAAAGGCTAAAGCTCTCCAGCCCGATGTCGTCTCTGAAGGAGGAGTTGAGGCAACTCTATTCCCTCATTGCCCCGGTGGGAGCGCTGATGCAAGAAACTCAAGGTTGCAGCAAGCCCAGAGGTGCCCTCGCTCTACTTGGTCTTGTTGGTCTCCAGCTGAACACTATGTCAGCCACAGCTCCTTTGCAAGTCATCCGACCTTCAAGAGACAAAAATGGTGAGAGCAAGGAGGACGCATTCGTTGTAGAACACCATATGCTGGAGGAGACTGTGCGGAAGACCAGGAGGCTGATGAAGAAGGCCTTCAAAAGCGATTCTTTGTCCGCTACAATCCCGAGCTGTTTCCCGAGACTTCAACGAAGAAAGACAAAGCCAAATAGCCACATATTTACGTCTTTGAAATGGCTTGCGCTCTTACCCCCAACCTGACGGAGCTAAATTTTCTTCAGTTGGTAATTGACAGCCTTTACTAAGGAAGACGCTCGGAGCAACAACGGGCAAAGCTGTTGAGGCAGTGAAGAAAACTGTCTGGGACAAGATTAGAGCAATGGCAATAAGAGCGGCCACGAAGCTATCGGCCGCAGGTGGTGCAGGGTTCGAGGCAGGATATGCTCAAAAGGATGACCTTTGGAGGGGCTGGTATTCAGATCGCAGGAGGCACATCATCATCAGCAAGCAACGTGCGGGCGCCCAGGAAGATTTTGATCTCAACATCAATCCTCTTTAAGGGCCTTTTATATAAGAGAGCTTCAGCGGCAGGCAATACCTCAGTCAGATGTTCTTTAGACACTTTAGTGGATGAGGAGATAGAAAGTTTACTCGCAGACTGGTGATGCCACATGACTTTGATCCTCAGGATGTACTGGATGGGTTCTGTATAAAACACCAGGGCAGATTTCCTCACCTCGCTGCAGTTGCTAGATGTATCTTTGGAAATTCTGCTTCAGCTGCGGGTATTGAGCGTGATTTTGAAATCGCTGGTGTGCTATTAAATCCACGGAGAACCAATCTTGACACCTTCGTTGTTGAGATGATCCTCTTCTTATACATCAATGGTGAACACATTCCTTGGGACGATATCCCACTCATTGATTCCAAGAAGGTACAGCAAACGGCAGGAGGACGATCGAAGTTTGTTCCAAAGCGCTATACCACAGCAACTCCAGCCGGATCATTAACCTTGAATGAGGCGGACGATGAGAATAATGCGAAAGCTGACCGGATCTTTACAGCGGAGGATATCGAAAACAACTTTAACTTTTTCACTGCAGGCAGCATAGATGGCGATTGACTATACCATGATGAAATACCAGCAGTAGCGGTAGCAGCCAACTAGTCTTTCAAGATAGCATATGAATAAAGAAGAGAGCTGATTATTGTGATCACATATATGCTGCTACTTGTCGCACTCGGAAAGAATTCTCCTTGTGCTCACTGTTAAGAATCAAAGTATTGATGGATCATCACAGTTGTACAGAGTCCAAGCTTCCACCCGCGCTTCGTCGGTAGTATAAAGAGGAGAATGCAAGAGGATAACATCATCATGATGTTCATCTTCTTGTTGCGTCAATGATGGATTTAAAGAGACGAACGATGGGAAACAACAATAACTGTCTGCCCTGACTGACCTTCTCACTCATC